AGTGTGTGTGTGTGTGTGTGTGTGTGTGTGTGTGTGTGTGCGCGTGTGTGTCTGTGTCTGTGTGTGTGTGAAAATACGTCACGTCTCCAAAAGAGGTTTTAACTAACACTAGAGAACAACAGGGTTCCTCAAGGCTGAAAAGACGTGCAAGTAGTGTTCCGAAAGACGACCACGAAATGGTAGGTCTGCATGTACTACGTGATAGGCCTACCCAAGAAAACAGACAGAGAAACCATATTATAGATTTATTAGAAGATTTCGAAAGCAAAATTGGTGAGGATTTTTTTTTCTTCATCTTAATTTTCCTTTTTATGCGGCCGCCCATCCGGCGTTATGCGTTTTCAACACCATACTTAGCCCCGATGGGGAAATGTGGTCTAGAGGTACAAAACTCACGTTTTATTCCAGAGTTTCGGTCATTGCCGGGATGTCCAATTGTCTTCTTCTCCTCCTCCTCCTCCTTCTATCATTCTCAGATTTTCAGAAACTTGTAACCAACCTCACTCACTCAATCTCCTTCTTCCTCTACTCTATACCCTTGATCCTTGGATCAGTAAAAAAATCGGCCACCTTGTCTTCTCGGATGAGGAATAAAAAATCTCGGAGGTCCCGTGTGCACGTTGCGCGAGTTAAAGATGAGCCTTGGCGATTGAAAACAAGAGTGGGCCGCGTGGCCGCCATACGGGTAAAAATATTTAATTTCGTAGCAAAACAAAACACATGTGTCTTGATTCCAAACGTATTGACAATATCTCTCCTTTGGACCATATTAAAGTAATTTAAAGAAGTCAAGATCTGAAAGGGGGCGAGTATGTATCATGTCTCTTCCACCTCGACAAAGCTGTATCGAGCATGCTGCTTTTATTTATTAAGTTAAAGATAGTCTGTCAAAACGCAAAAGGCCATGCAGACCAAGCCCAGAACAAATAGTGCCATTCCCTTCTTCCCTAGGCAGAGACTAATAATATAGTTTCAAAACGAGTACATGTACATATTTTGCCCTAACATTTTTATCTCTATTTTTTAACTGCTTTTTTTCGAAAGGATTCAAACCTACTATCGTCTATTTATCGAGCAATGGTTCAGTTCTCGTCGTAGCGGTGTGCAGGAGACATGAGTTCGACTCCCGCATGGGGAATCTTTTTTCTTTTTCTTTTCCTTTTTTTTTTTTTTTTAAATCAGCCTGGGTTGGCCCTGACAAGTTATGAAAGCCCCATTAGGATCATTCGTTCCATAGTCCAGGATGATACCAACTGAGCTAATGGTGTGCCCACAAAGGGGTGTGAAAATATTGGACTTCTTTTTAAAAATCCTCTAATTTCCTTATCAAAATGCATTCTACTACTACACTGTTTCTTATAAATCAGAATGTAAACTGTTCTTAGCGTTTCCCCAATTGTACGGCATCGATAGATCTAAATGTTTAGAGGTACATGTAAATGAAAAGGAGCTCTGCACGTCTTGAACAAAACACAAAGTCTGTTTGTTGGAGAAAAGAAAGGCACGTTAACACAATAATGGCTATTTGGTGCTGGGAAAAAGTAAGACAGACAGACAGAAACAACAGAGGGAAAGTGAAGAAGTATGAGTATGACCTACAAGTGGCGCCCTCCAACCACCCGCCTACAATTATTTTTATAAAACAGAATGTAAACTGCTCTGTGAATCTAATACTTTCCCAAACTGTAACTTACAGTGTAACGTACCGATAGATCTAAAGGCAAGGAGATAAAGGAGGAGCTCAGCACGTCTTGAACACAACACAAGGAAAGAAAGTTAGACCAAACAAGGGTTGGGTTTTGAAAGAACCTTTTCTTTTCAGTTGCGTTGTTAACAATAACTGGCTATCCTGAAGCGAAAGCCAGAGACGTGTACCTTGCAAACATCATCACAAATGAAAAAAAAAGAAAAGGAATGAAAGATTATTTTTGAAAAAAAATAGGAGTCAATAAAAGTTCAACTAATTTACAGCTTGAAATAACATGAGATGTTATCAAACGTCCACTTTTTTCAGACTTATAAGGTATATAAGGCGAAAAGATGAAATAAGGCATGTGTTAGACATTACAATAATATTATACTTTGTAGGGGTAAAGATATTCTGAATGTGAGATACAGGTTACTTCAGTCAGTTAATAATTCATGTGCTACAGCAATACATATAAATAGAAACAAAATATATCCAAGCGCATTATGTGATTCACAAAAGTGTACATCATTCAAAGTAGTAGTAGGAGTGCACTTCAAATAATAAGCCATTAATTAACGTTGAAAAAAAAATGACCACAGAACTAGAACCGGGGAAAGAAGGTGAAGAGACCTAATCCCGGAGGCAGGCAACAAACAATGATGAGGATCTTACATACGCAAAAGTAATACCTCACCACATTATGTGGACGACAACATAATGAGAGAAAGAAAAAGACAGAAATGTGCGGAAATGTATTAATTTAGACAAAAATTATTCCTATTCTTTTGATTTCCAAATCGGACACTGCACCTTCTGCTCTTATTCCTACTTATGTGCGGCTAATATATTGAGCCGAAAAAAAAGTTATACATTAGTACGGTAACAGAAAACCTTCAAAAGTCTCTCTCTCTCTCTCTCTCTCTCTCTCTCTCTCTC